TGCTGAATCTCCAATGAGCTCTCATGGTCAATCGACGCCGTCGCCTCATCCAGAATAACAATCGAGCTCCGCCGCAGCACCGCCCTCGCAAGCCCAATCAACTGCCTCTCGCCCTGACTCAGATTCCTCCCACCGGCATCAACATGTGTGCTAAGCGTCCAGGCGCGCCTCGCACAGATCCGCCGCAGCACCTCGGTGCATTCCTCGTCCGAGTACTCCTCCGTCGGGTCGAGATTATGCCTAATCGAACCGGGGAAGAGAACTGGGTCCTGCGCGACGAACGTCACCCGTGTTCGGAGCGCTTGCTTGTCGACCTCGGCGATGTCAATGTCGTCGATGAGAATGCGGCCGGATTCGGGCTGGATCGCGCTGAGGAGGGAGACGGCGAGGGTAGATTTCCCGCTCCCCGTTCGGCCTATGAGCGCTGTTGTTGAGCCGCCCGGGATGCGAAGGGTGATGTTATTCAGCGATGGGTCCAGGTGCGGCGCGTAGCGAATGCAAACGTCCTCGAAGACGATGTCGCCGCCGAATTTCGGCCACGCGGCTGGCGGGTCGATTGTGCCGGCCGGTTCTTGGTCGACGTGAAGCAGTTCGTCAACTCGCTCGACGGATACGAAGTCCATTTGGAGCTGACCGTAGGTGCGGCAGAGGCCGTGGGTTGCTGCGACGAAGCTGTTCGCTGAAATGAGGACGAAGGCGGCGAGGCCTGGGGTTACGTCCGTGTAGAGGGCTAGCACGGTTAGGCAAAAGGTGGAGAGCGCAGAGAGGCCTTCAAAGCGGTAGGAGAGCCAGCTCTGCAGGGACCAGTAGAAGTGATCCATGCCCTGGAACTTGTCGACGACTGCGATGACGCGGTCTTGGAAGCGGGGTTCTGCGTGGAAAGCGCGGACGGTTGTCAGGCCGTGTAAGAGCTCGCCGAAGTTGGAGATCAGTGGACTGAGTGAGACCATTTCTAGTCGTCGGAGGCTTTGCGACGTTGGCAAGAAGTGGAGGAAGGTGAAGATGAAGGCACCGGTGAGCAAGAAGGAGAAAGCCAGGAATACTGGCGTCACCGAGGCGATGACAGCAATCGAAGAAACCCAGGTAATGACCAAGAATGCGATGAGTTGGAACTGCTCGCTGATATCGCCGTCTACTACCCCTATATCTGACGTCAATCGATTCATCAACCGCCCAACAGGAGTAACATCGAAGAAGCGGAAGGTAGCATGGCTGACTCCAATCATCACCTCTTGGAAAAGCTTCTTCCCAGCGCAGTACACGATAACAAGCATAAATAGACGAGCAACTAGCATTGCGAGGGCTTGAAACGTGATAATGCCGAGGAAAGCCAGCAACCACGGCCGCACGTTCTCAATGGGAGCAGGAAGACCGTCAAGGGGGTTCTTAGGAGACCAATTCGCTAACCCTTGTACTGTTGATAATGCTGTCGAGGGGCTCAAGAAGATCGACTTTCCAGAGCCAACCTGTCCGAAAACATGGACGGCTTCATTATAAGCCTCTCCCCACTCCTTGAGGAACCAAGTCTGTGCAACTGTCGACAGCCGGTATATCGTAATGACAACGACCAAGGCACACCACCATCGGTATTTCCCAGCCTTGACGTAATTCCAGTAAACTGCAGCTTTCACGCCCCATTCCGCTCGGTGTTCGTCTTCGATAAACTTGGTTGGCACGGCGGCCGAGTGGCCTTCAAGTTCCGTCTCGTCCGTAGCCTCACCATCGCTTGAACCTCCTTTAAAAGGGTCATTGGTCTGGTCACCGGTATCCGAGGATGCAGACGATCTTCCTTCCGCTAGTGCCCTGCCATCCTGTATCAGAATAATCTGATCCGCTAGGTTGCGAACGAGATGAATCCGGTGTGTTACGAGAACGACAACACGGCCCTCCATCAGAGGGCCTACAAGGCACTTTTGAACGACAAACTCAGCGGTATTATGATCTAGTGCTGACAAGGGATCGTCAAGCAGTAGGATTCTGGAGGTACTGTAAACCGCCCTTGCCAGGGAAACGCGCGCCTTTTGACCTCCAGAGAGACCGATTCCGTTCTCACCCACGAAAGACAAGTCGCCATGCTTGAAGTTTGAAAGATCCGGCAGCAGAGCACAGGCGTCCAGGACACGCTTGTAGCGCTGCTCATCATAAGGAGAGGAAAACAGGATATTGTCTCGAATACTCATGCTCTGCAACCAGGGTGTCTGTGCACAGTACCCGATCATTTCATTTGAAATGAAAGAGGTGCCCTGTTTCTTATCCAATTCGCCCAAAAACGCTTGAAGTAGTGCTGTCTTTCCAGCACCGACCTTTCCATGCACAACAGTAAGGCCCTGCGAGATCTTCAGGTCAATGTCTGACAAAACAAGGGAAGATTTACCAGGCCATGCAAAAGAACAACTCTCCAGCTGTAGAGGGGCATGGTCGAGAGAAGATGTGATATCCCTGGTTTCTTTATCCGGCTCAGCCATGAAGTCCTCAATACGCTCCATAGCAATGGAAGCGTTTATCAATACGGTGATCAAGCTGGGGATTTCTCTGAGTCGGGATTCCAGCATGGTGAATAGCTGCAGAGCGGGAAATATGATATCAACGCTCAGCGGATGTCCAGCCAGGAGAGTATAGGCGTAAAGAGCTACCACCGGAAACAGGCCGCTAGCGAGCATATTGACGATGATGATACCAAGACTCCAGAGCCTTGTAACGACCCGGAGCTTCAACTCGGTCTCTCTCGCCTCCATAACCTGGCGAAGCCAGTGGTTCTGCCAACCGTACCAGCGTAAATGGCGAAGAGCCTCCACAAACTGAGACGAAACTTGAAGCCTAGTATCTGTTGCTTGCCTGCGTACGCGCTCCCTTCGAAGCAGCGCGCGTGTAATAAACACGTTTATCAACTGTGCAACCAGAACTGCTAGGACTCCCAAAAAGCATGAAGGGCCTAGTACTTTCCAGACGAGGGATATGGCTATCACCAGGCCAATTGGCTTGCTAATCAAGGAGTCAATCTCCCAGAACCGTTGAGCAACCTCATACACATCGCCGCGCAGTATGTTGAAGATTTTTCCCATGGAGACAGCTGTTTTAACCTTATCTTTGCGGTCCCCTCGGCCAAAGGTCAGGAAGCTCCAGAGACCAAACTTCTTCTTGGGAGGATCATTCGGGACTTCTTCTGCTTGTTGCTGTTCGATTTCATCCCCTTTTTCCTCAACACGCTGGTCGAATACATTCTTCCTCAAAAGCGCTTTCTCGTATACCATCATCATCATCTCACCACGGCTGCGCTCGTAGCATCGTCTGCCATACCAGAGATTGAAGACCTGGGACTGCGCAGCTACTAGACCAAGCGCCAGTGTCAGAGATGCATAAACCAAGGCGACCCGATTGGACCTGTTTTCGTCTTTCATTGCCTGTAACAGCTGCTGAAGGAGTAAGGGCGCAGAGAATTCTGTGGACCAGGTCAGCAAGCGTCATTGAATATCGGAAGGTAGATAATCAAACCGCAAATCATTTGCACAATCGAAATCGTGCTAATGATAACGATATCAATGCCGTTTGCCTTGAGTAGGCGGCCAATGACACTCCCCTGAAGTTGACGAAATTTCTCATGGAGTCTCTTGTGCTGGAATTCGTACCCTAGGAACCAAACGTCATTCTCCTCTAACTTCCGCTCTTTGCCTATGGACATCAATGGCTCCATCCAAGACACGCTGAAAAATTGCCACAGCTTTAGGTTATCTTCAGGGCTTCGGAAGTCACTGGATGGCTTCTGGCCCACTGCGCTGATGTCAATGCAGGGGAGCGAGGCTGGGCGAAGGGGCGTGATGAGAGTGACCGCACAGCCCAACAAAGAGGCCCCAGCAGCAAGCTGGTGGGGGAACAATTTCGAAATTGAGTAGGCATCATAATTGGCAATAAACGCAACCTCCACGATGCCTGCAGTTACGTAGTATACCAGAAGCAGCTTTGGGCATGTTCTCGGCCGCTCAGTAGCAGCGAGAAGCACAGTGGAAATCTTGATACACATTAGACCCCATTCGTTCTAGAATGGCTATGTACTTACCCACGAAGCAAGTAAAACGCTGTCAGCCAGGCTAGGCCCATCAAGAACGACCTTGCTCAACTCGGCAGCGGACCCAAGTATAGATATTGCCAAGAGAGCTATGACCCAGCCCAGACGATGTTTCGTCTGATCTAGAGGGATCTCTGGACTGGGGGGGAGCTCTTGCACAAATGGCCTAGCCCATTTCGGCCGCTGTACAAATGGCAGTTGCCGTAGTACATAGCTTAACCAGGCGCAGGAGATGACAGCCGCCGGGAGGAGGGTAAAGTATCCGACCGCACATGACGATAACCGAGCATTGGCTGAATCCTGTCGGAATAGTCAGTGCTGACGTAGCGTAGAGTGGAGGCGTTGTCAAGAGGCTTACCCAAATGACTTGGCAAGTGCGCAGTATTCCATATTCTATTCCTGAGGGCATTGGGGAATTGATCATTAGACAACAGTATGAGACATTGCTGATGGATGAGGAGGTTGGTTTAAATCCTGAAATACTACCATAGGTATCAGGCTGCAGACGCTAGGTGGCACCCCTTTGGCCCATCCGAATTAGGCTTAGTGGGTGTTTGTATGGCCCCCAGATATTAATACTATAGTATCAGAGCCATGATGTAAGGACATGCATGATCACTTCTAAAATGATAGACAATTATCATGATTTATTCCTGTATTGCAGCTTGAATATGATTTCCCCAGTGCCCTCGAAAGATCAAGCAAACTCGCCCAAGACACTACCATAGTTTGTCATCATGATGTTTTTGAACTACATATGTACCTAGCAAGCTGTAGGGACAGGGTGGGGATTTTGGCCGCAACGGACAGGAAACTATAGTATGCCACAAGAGGGGGGGACGGCCAGCAGACCTATAGAAAAATGCTGGCTGGCAGCAAGTCTCAATTTCGGAGACACGAAAGAAGAGGAAAAGAAACGAGGGGGAAAAAAAGAAATCGACCGACACGGGGATCGAACCCGCAATCTTGAGTTGAACTCTCCAGTAGGAGACTCACGCCTTACCATTAGGCCAATCGGCCACCAATGATGTCTTTCTGCTTTTTAGTCTGCTTTTTAGTCTGCTTCAAGTACCTGCACTCAAGTCATATTAGTTGAAATTCTACTCTTGTCTGTTCCATAACGAGAGCTCATTGTTTGTGCAGCAAAGTAGAGATCTTGGTCATATCTAACTTTATGAAATATTGAGGTATTCTATTCGCCGTGTATTAGGACTGACTAGGTTCCTTTATCCAATTGGCGCATAAAGTTGAAGAGAGTAACCAAAATGCATAAAATATATATTTCAGCGGGCACAATGGTAGGGGGTATCTATCGATGACTAGATACAGTTCACTCCACTTCCACGTCTATTGAGAAACCTCCTAGCAGGCATCTCAAGTACCTCCCGGGCCGACTTTCAATACAGCAAGATATCTACCAAGGAGTTCGCCCTAAAAATTTGCACATGTGCCGTCCTGCCGAGGATAGCAACCCTGCTCGTGCCCTGTGGTCTTCGCCGCCTCATATAAATGTCCGTCGCCATTGGATCCGATGGAGGAGCTTTATTAAGACCCACAAGTTCCCGATCATATATAGAGTCCACCAGAGGCGTAAAGTCTGCGATGTCAGCCTCGAGGGAGCTTTCGTTGACAAGGCGCTTCTTCAGACCTAGTCTCCCTAACCCTTTCCAGACGGAGTGATAGGTACTAACCTGAAGTTTGACGATCTAACAGTGAACCAATTTCTGCGAGAGCGGTTGCTTCCTATTCGCCAAGGAGAGAAAATGAAGTGAGAGCAATAGCCGCTTCATTGTCGAACAAACTATGCCCGTCAGAGGTATTATCCTCATCTACCACCTCATACCTCGGTAAGCCTGGTGATGCTTCCTGCTCGACAATAGACATGGGATTCAAGATAGAGGATATGCCCGGGTGTCCTTGGGTCAGGTCTGCAACAGAATAGGTATACCTACTCTCTCACTCTCTCTTTGACTTTGCCGTCAACGAACTCGGCCAAAGCACTGTACCTCCTAACAACGAATTTCTCATGGCAGTGGACTTTGGATTCCAAGCCATTGCCTGGACATCGAGCCGGGGTGACATTTGTTTCGTCCTTCTGACGCCTTGGGAGCGCATGAAGGACCATAAGCAGTCCTCGAGCCAATGCCCCCCCAAGCTGTTCGATCTTTTCCAGGTCCTCCTTCTCGGCAAGCCCTTTCCGCGACAACCAGAGCTTGATTCCTTCATCAACTGTTTTAGCTATCATGGTACCTCCCCAGCCTCTTTCTTCTTGCCTGGCTGAGTATAAACCCAACTACACTGCTTGACCCATAGAAGTAGGGCCGAAGGACCTGCAGACCCAGAATATTAATGCCAAATCGAAGGGCCTCCCCAAGCTTGACCGCGTGCGTGGGTTCAATGGACCAAATCTCAGAGGGAAGCTTAGGAATTCTGATATACAAACGTTTACCAAGCTCCGCTGCATCGACCAGATATACTGGGTATTCAAACCCAGAGTTTATGTCTCGTCGGGCGATCAAGGGCTTCACTGATTGCTTTTTTTTTTTGGCGCGGGGTCCACACACGAAAATGATTCTTGCATAGATTTAGTCAAGCATGGCTATATGAGAATTACCATGAATAGATGGTGGGTTAGCAGGTCGGAGTTGAAAGGGTTGGGTTTCTACGGTGCGTGGCCTGTCGCATTTGATGACATTATTAGAAGGGGTCGAGTACCCGTAGCCATGTTTATTCAAGATTTGGGCTAAAAATAAGACTCATATGGATAGTGATAGGCATCTATGCATCACCGTCGCTAGGTTTATTCTTCTCTTTCTCGGCCGGCATGGTGGTGCGGTGGACAATTCGAACCCAGCGTCTTCGCCTCCACTCGCCCATGACATTCGGGCCAGTATTCCCTTTTTCCTCAATGTCCTGAAATGCCCTCTCCTTTCCCTTCTTCTTACCCTTCCTCTTGTTGCTCGGATTCTGGGAGAAGCTTTCATAGCCTAGTGCAGATGCCACGTCAGCATCACCCCGAGGTGACGAGATAGAAGGCAAGTCCCAAACCCAGCCTCCGATCTCATCAGTACCTGCACCGCTCTCTGAAGGAGAACCAGGGACTTCGAACCCAACGCCCGTTATCATCCGCTCAACAACCCACTCGCGGCAATCTAGGTCCAATTCCCACTTTTTGCTTTTCCACGCCCACCCGACCGGTGGCTGGACGTCCTCAAAGAAGCGGCATCCTTTGGGTGTCCCGCCCGCAATACGGGAAGGAGAAAGTGGATCGTATGGGACGGGGCTGAAGAGAAATGTTTCCCAGTCCTGGTCCGCATACGGAGCCAGAGACCTGTATTGGATCTCGAATATCTCCACTTCACGCTCTTCGGGGAATGAGTCCAATGAAATATCGCCCAGCAGTCGTATCAGAGGTAACTGTGACGGGCCCGGGGGTACAGGTAGCTCTGACTTGACGCTATCACTACCCAGGTCTACTGCGATATCATCAAGGAACTCTTTGATGTTGGGGTGCTTCGACAGTATTGAGGCATTGCCTCCGACGAGCATGATATACCTCCATGGAATAAGGTGGGAGGTAAGAAACAGCATGGCAGTGAGAAGCGTGCACACGAGGAAAACAGCCGAAGACAATCTCTCGTTTGAGAAGTTTGTCATGGGCGCAAGTGCCGAAACTGCCGAATCGTGCAGGTCCGAAAAGTCAGCCATGGAGTTTTGCAGATCGCGCATGTTGCGAAAGAAGTCTTTAGACGTCTCCGGTGCGGGTTTTATGGTTTTGGCCGGTGCTAATGCGGGTCCCTGGTACGAGTAGTAAGGAGTTATGCTAGATGTTGAGGTCGAGGGTGGCGGAGGATGTCGCGCAAGGAAAGTAGGAACCATGACGAACAGGAGCACAGTCGCGATCGGAAGCACAACGAGAAGGTTAGGATCGAGGCATATAAAAGAGTAGACGAACAGGAACGAAAATGTATGAGACGGTTGCTTCCAACTGAATAAGCGCTCGACTTGGGTCTGGAATTGGAAAACGATCCCGATTCTATAAGGTTAGTCCTGGTCCGCCGCCTATAAGACTTTATCCCAGACTTACCTCGCATTGAACCGTCGAAAGTTGTTGCCCATCACCGGAAGGCTAAAGGCTGGTCGTTTCGCATCTGCGGGGGCGGACTTGACGCCCACTGATATCGATTCATCTTTAACTTCTTCGACCGGAATGACTTGCTGTAGGATTCTAATTCAAAGTTAGTAAGTGTGCAGTGGAATGCGCAATGTCAAATGATAGAGGGTGTAAGATGCGTACTTGGTGAGCAACCTATCTTGCATGGAATGGCGGACACTCGAAACTGATCGTCCATGTTGGCTTGAATTCAGATCATCGGAGTTTGCATTTTGCCTGCCTCGAAAATGTGGAGTTGGGTCATCGCGGTCGGCGAAGATATCGGCAGTTTGTTCCTCCATGATGCCTTTCCAAGGATGAAGCCACAGGGGCGAGGCGTTGCCGCATCTCTAGCAGCCGCTGAGGAGAGATGGTGGTGGTTGTTGGTCGACTGCTCCGCGAGCACATGCTCAAGCTCGGGTTGAGCCGAGAGCAGTCAATATTTGGGGTAAGGCTGCCTGCCTCCTGTGGTTCTGAGAATTACGCATGGGTTTCGAGAATTACACATCATATCATCTACGCCAAAATTCAGTCGCAACAATTAAAAAAGGGCCAATAGTATCATTTGTGATATGGTATCTATTATTATTAGCTGATTATCTAGAGAGCGAAGAAATGAAGTATAGGATATATGTCTGTCTTACTAGTAGACCTTCGCATAACATTGGTTGAGCATCACCAGTCAAAGTGCTAGGTATACTAGTAGTAGTAGTAATATAAGTATTGGCACCTGAAAGATTGAGTGAGGAGTACTAGTAGTAAATTATGGAACATTGATTTTAAACCTAGTACTGACTACTAGTACTACTACACTGGCAATCTCAGGCTGTCTTATGTATATGATGGTATAGAAATAACTTAAAGTAGAACAATACTATCTCAAGGTACAGGATACATATGTCGGCATCAACAGCATTTCTGGGTCCAAAATTCTCCCTGGCCTAATGGCAATACTATATGGCACTTAGTACTCTATGCTAAGGAGAGCTCTGTAGACACACTGGCAGCCATAAGTGCAAACGGTACTCAGTAATTGTAATTTTGAAATACCTGTAGTCGTATCTCCATTGAAGTTTGTGCTGTTTGCAGCCAAATTCCCCAGCATGGCACAAAAAAAAGGAGCCAGGGGGGGAGAACAACGGTTCAAGAGATTGACGGCTTGCTTGTTTACTGCTGCTCTTTCTTTCGGACTCATCTCCTGTTTGCTCTCAGGCAGGCCCCGGAGACCTAGCTTGTTTTGACCTTGACCTGTTTATTTTTATTCTCCTCTAGTAATCCCTTTACGCCTTCCGCGGTTTTCTTGCTCTCCAGGCGCAACATAGCTCCTTCCTCCTGAGTTGTGGTTTATATACGCTTGTACCCTTTACGAACGCCAAGTCTAGCGAACTGCTGCCCCGGCAAAGTTCTCTGTCCACTTACACTCTTCCAACTGTCCGACGCAGGCTATATCGCTCCGAATCAATCATCGAAGAACCTTACAAGCTCCATATCGCCCTCGATACATCTAGATCACCTTCCCCTTAGTGCTATTTCCTGGAACAGAGTGTACTGTTCTTATCCCCGCGATGGACCGTTAACGACCACTAATGGTCGCGCGACGGTGCTGGTCAAGGCTTTCCTTCGTTAGGCATTGAGGAAATATCATTCCTGAATGTCTTGATGATTGGGCCTTCACACTGATTCCCAACTGATCTTCCGCCATCGATTTCCCATCCTGGGCGTATTCCCCGCGTCCAGAGCTCCCCCGACCGAAGTGTGACCATGCCGGAAAAGCTGTCGGACCAACAGACTGCAGGAAAGGGGCAGTCGCGAGGAGTGCAGTCGAGGCCGTCCAGTCCTGCAGGAAACGAAAATGCGGCCTTTGGAG